ACTACAGTTGTAAATTTTACGACGTTATGAAAATTTAGACGCCAGCGACCCTTCGTCGTCGGATTCTCCTGATTGTGGAGTGGCGTGCTCTGTGCAGTGTCCATCTACTACCGACCGTGAAGAGTTTGTCGACGAGATGAATGGGCCGTTTTGTTGTCCTCGGTCTCTCGTGAATCGTCTTGTTTTCACCACCACCTGCTTTTGATTTCCTGGAGAAACTTCCTTTGTGCATTCCGTAGTTCCCGCTGCCGCGCTTAGAAGCGTGTGAATTTTTCTGTTGCACACGTCAGTTTCGCTCACTATTCACAACCTCGTTCCTCTTGCGAACTTTCGCTGATCGCCGAGTTTCGCTCCCCGTTTGGAAGACGTTAAACTGCGATGACTGTGTTCGACGTTGGCCATGTAATCTGACTTCGCCTTTTTTTATTTTTTCGCTCTATCTCATCTAGTTGTTCTTTGTTTTCGTAACACAAGGAATGATCCGGAACAAACAGTTCTAGCAAAAACGTTTTGTCAAAGAGTTTTTCTGCAGTGTTGTAATGAAATTTATTCTCTTCCAAATTACTTTATCTGCCCAGACTCAGGGCTCAGGGATGATTCCTATAGCGATCTTATCCATTCTCCTGCTACTTTATTTCATCCTCACTTTATTTCACTAAGTTTCGTTTCTTTTCCAACAGCATTAGAATTTGCAGCACCTTAGCGGTCGCCATTTTTAAGACGCACTTTCATTTCTGCTAGTTGATTTCTGAACTCAACTATGCCCAAAAAAAAACAAAGCACCAAATGAAAGATTGCTGCGATCACCACCCCATTCGGTTTCACTCAGCTGAACTTATAAGACCCACCATGTGTAGTGGTTTTGAGGCCTGGTTAGGCTCCATACGTGGTCCTGCTGGCACAGAGCACGTTATCGGCGTGGATAAGGTTAGAGTGGATAATGTGATCTACCTGGCACATCGCCTCATTAGTGTCCGTCTCGTGTCCATGTCGGATGTCTCCGACCACGACGCGCTCTCTTGCAGCTCATCCAATTACTTAACGTAGATAATGCTGAGCGACGGCTCCGCCCAGCACCGCGTCAACAGCACCGTTCGCGCGACGTCGGCACGGTCGGCAGCCCAACTACTAGCCCTCGTGCCCAGGTGTACGGTATGGGTGTCGTCCACTAGCCAAGGCAACGTCGGCCACTCAGCTCCGTCTCTTCCACGTTCCCAGCAGGCTCCTTACATTCTGATACTCGCCACTGCTTTCGGTTCCTTCATGACAAGATTTTGTGACAACTTGAAGACAAATATCTGGGAATTTCACATCTCGGTGTTGAGTAGAACTAGCAGTTGCTCGGTTTCCTTCTTCTCCTTTCACCTACAACTATTGGAAACCAATTGCTTCTAAACTTTTTTGGTTTTTGTTTCCAAAATGTTTCCCAAAAAAAATGTGTGGAGTGTTTTTCGAGAAGTTTCGTTTTGTACGTGCTTTCATTTCTTTCGCAACCCCCACTCATTCATTCAGTTTGTTTGACCCATCTTCTGTTCTAACTGCTCCCAAATGGACTCACAATTACTTAACTGTGAACTCTTTGACGTACGCAACGAGATCGACGTGGGAGGTTGCTATAAGTTCTCGAGAACTCTGAGATTTTAAAGGCAATTTAGGTCTTGTTTTGCAACATCCTACATGTTTCGGTGGTTCAGCGCAAAAATTCTGTTTTGTTTTGTTTTTGTCTTTTTTCTCTTAAAACTAAACAGTCCTTTGCTCTTGTTTTGATAGTGGTGTTCATGGTTTGTCTCGTACTCACTGACCTCTTAGGTTGGCAATGATACTTATGATCTACGATTTGGAAATTACTCTCGTCTGCCAACTGAGCTCGTGGTTTGCGCTCTAGATATGAGTGTTGCAAAAAGTATCTCTACTGTTGTAACCGGGATCTCGTCCGCTTGTTCTTGTGTGCTTTCGATCTCGCGGTATATAGTCGTATTCCGTGAGGGGATCCTGTTACGGTGCAGGTTCTTGGTTATTAGAATGTAGTGCGCGCCAAACATGTCCGAGATCTCACGCGTTATGTTTATGAATTCGATGTTTCTTTCGACGATTTTGTCGACGAGTCTCGCGGCGACGGCTTAATAGCGACGTAGCCTTTACGAGGTCCTTTGTGAACTCGTCTAGTGCTGTCCGATCGGAGTTCAGTCGAAATTCAATCCAAAGCCTTCTAAACGTTCAAGCAGTTAGCAGAAGAGATATACGATCACTTGCGATGACGAACATCGATCGTTTTTGCTTTCACATTTTTGGAGATTCAATTCGTAAACGCAAATAATCCCGAGATTCGTCATATTACTACAACGTTCTCGACAAGTTAACAAGTGCGAAGTAATGGAAAATAGACTGAAAACTGGTTGACATTGAATGACTATTGATAACAAAAGGCTCATAGTGACTTTATTCAACTAATCCATGGATTCTGTTGAATAAGATGAATCTGTTGAATACATAGTATGTTAGCAATCTATCGTGATATTTTGTATTTGTCGCGCAGCGCAGCGAACACGGATCGCGCAAAGATGTTTGTAAACTTGACCCTGGTGAACCACTCGCACATACCGGATGGGAATAGGTGCAACTGGTACATCAGCTCTATTCGGCGCTATACCGGTCTCGTAATCTCGCTCGTGCTTTAGGTGATGAGGCCCGTTCGCTGACCGATCTTGCGTTGTTTGTATCCACGACGTAAATTTAGTGATGACCCTGATCCATGGTATGTATAAAGACGCATCAACATTACTGATTTTTGACGCACGTGGTGCGCAGTCTGGCTAATTGTTCATATAAATCTTTTTTGATATTGTCCTAATTTGGCAGTTCAGCATGCAAGCTTCGGTTTTTCAGCAAGATGGGTCCCATGTCTCTTTCAGGCCCCATGACAGCTAGTGAATTCAGCAGGTGAGTGAGTTATGTGTAATTTTTGAACTGCCCTAGCAATCATGCGTTGTAACTAAATCTTGGTGGTTCCTCAAACCAAAGTGAAGCGCCTTCAGTGCACAATTCCGGCTCAATTTTCATCACTTCGCGTAGATGCTCTGGTGCAGCACATCGCAGTTGTTCTTGTACAGGATTACGACCCTGACATGCGATTTCCCGTTTTCGAGCTCACGGATGCGCTTCCCCATTCTACGGTCTCCCGCTCACCGATCTCATTTCAAGAACGTAGCTTTCATCCATGCTTGCTAATAGTTTGAGTAGCTCACCTATCTCTTTTATTTTATGCGGAAACTTGTTATTCTTTCCTCATGCCTTCCGTTCTCCAACGATGCAATCCGTGCAAGTCCAATTAGACGTGCACATCATAAACAGCCAGCCCTGTGGCCACGGATAATAAGAAACCTGAGAGGCCGATTTCCTGTCCTCCTCTCATCTCACCCCGTACTTAACTTCTAAACGTCTCATTTCCTCGCTAAAGCAGTCTTGTGCAGAAATTTTACTACTGAATAGACTTTATTTAGGAAGTGATCATATGTTTAGTTTTGTAACTTCAACCTTTCATTGCACTTTTAGTAATGTGTTGCAGAACTATTTAAATAAGAAGATGTCATCTCCTACCCTGTTTCGCGGTTGTTTAGCTGTTGTTTTTTCTATGCCCCTCTTCTGGCAAGGACTTTATGAGAGCTAGTTATTGGTTTCGCTTAGGTTATCTCAATGTTCCTATGTTTATGACAAACTGTTTTTAAACGACCACTCACTGAAGTGTATTGAATTGGCGGTAAGTTTCATCAATTGTCTGAAACTTCTACCTGAAGACTTTTCGAGAAATCACGAGAAGAATCGGCAGGCTTCGTTTCTCTGGTTTCGAGGCCGATGCTGGAGGAGAGCTGCTTCGGAGCACCAGTGCTTTTCGTAATTGCTCCCTACGGCAATGTGCTACGGTAGTGGGGTGGTGGATGTGGGCGTGGCCAGGTGAAAGTGGCATTGATCCCTCACCTCGTCGCTCTCCGTGCCCACCTACCCACCGCCGGCGACGAACTGCCACCATTCGTGTCCATAACTTTCACGGACCTCTCCGTTCCACCACCTTCCCTGCCCAGACCTCCTTTTCTGCTCCTCAGCTCAGTTCTTTGCCACACACTCTCTCATTCAGCTGTCACATAAGTACCTTTCCAAATAATATTCTGATAACTACTTATACGGTAACACAAGCACTCTTTCGAATTCGAGCACATCATTTATTGTCGCAACTCTCCAGGTTCATTGAGCAGCGCCTTCTTCATAATTATTGGCCGCTGCTCGCCAATTACTTATGAAGCTGTAAGTTTCGTGCAATGATTTCCTCTTCTTTTTGTCACGTCATCAATAATGAACTTGTTTCTTTAGAGTGACTGCTTGTCAGAAGCTTTTGCCAACCATTTTTTTTACCCCAGCATAGGTTTTACTTTTAGATTTATCACCATGGAATTCAGGGTTTGTTAATTCTTTACTCCTCGTTTTCCTAGCCCTCTTACATGAAACATAACTCAGAAATTGGTCTTGTTAGATTTAAGTGAATTCTTCCCATCTTCAGAGTTGTGTACGATTTTTCCTACACATTTGTTTTATCCCACCTCTCTGTCTTATAATAAAAAAGCAGCAGTTCATTATTTTTACCATTCCTCCCAGTTTCTCAATGATGTCCACAAAACGCGCCGTAGATTTTCCTACATCCCAGCGTACGTCACATCATGTCTGTTTCCGACTCCCAGGTTGATAGAGCCTGTGTAAAATACTTATTCCAATATTCTCGTTTAACGTTTGGCTTCTTTGCTATATTTCCAGCAAACATGAGGGTATCGAACTAGCTTTTCCCCTTACTTAGAAAGTACTCTGGATACGGTCCATTGTAATATCATCGTTTATCGTAAATATCTCTATGTGCTATCAGCAAGTACTGTCCGACTGTCGTTGGTAACAACGTCGATGTTAGAGATTTGTCATGTTCGTTGTTGCAGAGACTGGAGGTGTTACTCGGTCTAATGGATGTGGTAGGGAGCGAATCGTCGGCTGCCACTGAATCAGTTCTCCGACGAGTCGTCAACAGTAGCAATGACGCTGACGAAGTACTGCGAAAATTCAAATGCCCGGAGTGCGGCAAAGCGTTCAAATTCAAGCACCATCTCAAAGAGCACATCCGAATTCACTCGGGAGAGAAACCGTTCGAGGTGAGCCACAGTCTTCTCTTACCTAATCCATCTCATTTTCATGGCACTTTCATATTGGGTGCACTTGGAGAAACCTCTGGTTTTTGGAAAGTTCAAGAGAATCCTTTTTCAATACGCGAAACGATAGCCCTTCTTCCGCATAATGCTTGTTATGACTATCGAATTGTGCCGATGTCGTCTTCTTACCTATATGTAATATAATTCATTGTTCGCTACCGCAACAGAGTCTATCACCGATGTATTATGGGCGTTTTATTACCAGGATATATCACATAGTTCTATGAAGTCTAGTGAGGTTTCCATAATTTTACCTCTCTTTGTGACTTAGAGCGAATTCTGCAGTCTTCTGGCGGTTTTGTGTGTGTGTGTGTGTGTGTCGGAACGTTTGTTCGACACGACTGGAGGGATGGAGTCGATCAGTGTTTGGGCGCACCTGTCCCCGTGCGCTTGTCGTCATTTATCACTCACTACTGCTCTTCTATCCCATATACCTGGCCGCACTCGTCAATCGGGTGGTATCTACATCGGTGTCGTTTGCTGTAAAGCGTAACTACAAGTGTTTAGATATGCAAGAACATATTCATAATCATATTAATTGTATTGAAGTATATTGAAGGCAATGACAGATTTCCTAGATGATCCAACAATCCTGAATAACTTTGTATCCTTCTAGTCATTAGTAAAGAAAAAGACTGCAACATTTATGTTGTAGAAATTGCCCAGCTGTAATAGGTCTTGGCAACTATGTACAGGATCGAGGAGAAGCTTAAAAGTCAGTTTTCGGTTTGGCTGTTCAGACTAGCCAACAATAGTTTATCATCTTATGGTCAATGAGCTATATAAAAAAAATCAATTGTGCAGTATGCTGTCTTAGAAAACAAGGAGCTTGTTAAAAACGCGTTGTTCAACCTTCGGATATCTGTGTGATAACAATGACTAGTTGTAGTTTTATGTTCAAAGATGTTACGTCGTCAGTGTTAACTGTTTGGAACGCCATCGCATTACCTTTAGGATTTTATTTTTCAGAGTCTTTAAACTGAATCTTGAACAAAAGCCAATTTTTGTTTTACTATGCCTTTTCTCTGTAAATTTCGCAGCAAAAAGGACTTGGTAGTCGTACCTGAACTAGCGAGATGACAACAATTTACGATTTTCACTCGTTGGATACTTCGGCGAGATTTCGCCTCGTTCTAACTGCACTTTTTATTTGATATATTAGACAACATGGGGTCAGAGCCTTAGCTCATTCCTTTGGATAATGAAGTCATTGTTTCCTTGCTTGTCTAGCAAGCGGCATTATTTCGGAATTCAGCTTGGTTTCTGGGAAGGTGAATGATCAAGTTAAGCACGACGGGAAGATGGGTGGTGAATCGATCTTTTTTCGCGACTAAGATAAGTGAATAACGCACCTGGCGGCACAAATAAGGCCGAAGGCCTACGTTTTCGCTAGGGACGCATTGCACTTTGCGAATGTGGCAAAAAAGTGCTGAAAGCTAAACGAAGATACGAAAGGGAATGTGGAGAATCCGCCAAACCACCGTTGTTTCTACTGCATTTAGATTCCGCTAGGCTTAATGCGGTATTTTAAGGACCCAATAAGGCCGAAATCCAATGGGAATGGTGTTTTGGCCTTGTCGTACGAGATCTTATACGAGTCTCCCGATCTATATGTGTGTGTGATGCTTAAGTTTTCGCGGTGGCGAAGTGGCGCCCATTCTGCCACACGTTAACATCGTTCGGCCACTAATAGCTCATCAACGACTGTTCCTCATTGATTTTCCACTCAATACTATGTTGTATTAGGTTGTATGCAACTTTTGAATGGATTGATGGACATTTAACCTAAAATACTCAACTTTTTTGTGAATGCAGTTGTAAAATTCTTGTGGTCAAAGGCATTAAGGCTTCTCTTTCTTCTTTTAATGCACCAGACCTTGAGAAAAAGGCCAACAATTTCTCGTGAGCTTCATCTGATTTCTAAACAAACATAGGAGGTTCATGTCATAAACATTACAGAGCTACCATAGGTGACGTCTCTGCTGTATTATGTGCTACCAAAGCCATTTAGCAATCTGACTAACTAATAAATTTACTACTAAATAGTTGCTTTAACCTGTTCTGGCCATTTTTGATAAGCATGAAGCAAATTGTTTAAGCGGTTTAGAGGAACTATGATACTTCGTTAGTTCTGGGATAGCGAAGCATCACTGTCAACTAGGCTTCACGAAAAGGGGTATCTGAAACCACCTTGATGTAGGTTAGGTATACTTATTTTGCTCTGATGATGTCCTCACAAACCACAACTGAAAAGAGTTTACCCGCGATTCTATTACCGCACTTCATTGTTCCAGCTTTAGATTGTGTGTTTGAGAATCTCGGAACAAAGAAACCTCTAGCTCATGCAACCATCGTCTCCAGTCTGACCACCCGCGCAAAATTTTCCGGAAGAACGTTTGATCTCGAGAGAAGCGTTATTACAATGGGTGGTGCATTATGCTGCTTAAAAGCAATGCACCGTTATCTCTGAGACGAGAGCGGATCGGAAAAGCCGGCTATGAGACGAATCATTTGCAGCGTAGGTGTCTCCGCCATACCATAATGAAGCCACGCCCACATTATACTTCAGGAAATTCAAAGCTATTCCACAGACCGTTCCTTCGGATGTTCTTCAGTGCGATCGTTCCTCAAGTTTGGATTTTGTTCTGACCCTCTATTGCTGTGCAACGAGGAAGTGTAGTTTTTAACGTTGGTGTGTCATAACAGTCTAAAAAATCCCACCCTATAGTTGCTTCTCATACTCAACGGCGTACTGACTTTACTTCCTAGACGTTAAATAGCAGCTAAAGAAGGTGTTGTTGTATACAGCGATGCCATTCTAGATGTTGTACATTAATGTTCACGATTGATTTATTGATTGACTAGTCTTATCTGACAGTTCTTAAGTAATCTTAAGGAGAGGTGATTTTAAGTCCACAGTACGCCAGAAGACCACCCTTATTGTGATCCGAGTTAGTAGCGATTTCGGCCAACTAACAATATGCAACTGAACGTGCAACAATTAACTACGGCATCGGGAATTTCCGGCTATAAACGCCGGATCGGCCAAGCATTTTTTGAGGTGGTTGGGGTTTCGACAGTCCGTGTGCGAGCTGTTCGCCTCCTTTCATGCGTATTCCACAATCGCCGTACGCCAGGTACGGTGTTCCGTAGAGGCCGGTTACTGTAGCGCAGTAGGTGGGGTTGATTATTGGCTGTCGTCCAGGTAACACTGGCGGGTCAGGCCACTCAGGTGAGAGCGCGCGTCCGCCGTTATCGACGGGCGCCGCGACGCGGCGATCACGCGTCGCGGCCGGATTATGAATTCACGGCGCACGAACCTGGCGCTTCCATGAATTAATGAAACGCCTCAGGGGACCTGCGGCCCGATGCGCTCCTTCGCATCCCTTGTGCTCTTACAATCTCCTACCCGATCAGGGACTCCCGGATGGAAATTTCGACGGCTTTCTCGAATAGCACAGAAGGAATGAGAAAAGGTAAAACCCTACTGGTATTAATTGTCCTGAACAGCGCGAAATGTAGATTTACTCAGAACGAACTATGATTTATTAAAGTAGTGAACGAAGCGCTTCAATAATGTGGTAAATCGCTAAGAACACTATTTGGAACCGTTGAGGTGGTAGGGTTTCGTTAGCGGTTAAGAGTTCGGACAGGCAACATGCTGAACTGAATACACATCCCACTTCCTAAGTTGCTGACCCTTCATTATCATAGGGATAAGCTCATCAATGCGTTTGTGTCTTCGGGCCAGGAATATGCGCTCGTTTGTTGTGGTGAGATTGCCGACTGAATAATTTGGCTCGTCGCGGAATTCGATGACCGCCGAATTGGCTGTCATTGAGGTGTCGCTTCGGCGGCATACGTCGCACATCTACACCGTCATGAGAATTCTGCCGTCGTTTCGAGGGGATTCGAACTAATTCGCGAACGCGAGACATTTCTGGATTGTTTCAGTGCCCGTCGTGTCACAAACGGTTCTCGCATTCGGGTTCGTACTCGTCACACATGAGCAGCAAGAAATGTATGCAACAGGTTGGCATGATTTTTATACCTTTAAGTTCCTAATGTGATTTTAACATCTATCATGCGATTCTTACGAAAAAAATGTAAGGTGGTGGCGTTTAAGACAGCACCGTCGATGGTACCGCAGTTCAATCACTACCAACTGGTAATCTATCGAAATTTGCTGATGCAGCTGCAAGCTCAACAACAACTCACACTACCAACCTCTGCCGATGTGAACCCCTACTTCAGTCTCATTCAGCAGAACATTCTGCAAGGGGTGAGCTTTTTTGGAATATCAGACAAAGATTGATTGAATGCACACACAAAATGATACGTCGAATCTTCAGGCTTGCCACTTTATCCCAAAATTTCATCGTTTGAGCACATCGTCTAGCTACAAAAGCCCGATAATGAAAATATCGTAGAGTCGTGGTGAAGAGCGAAAAACAATCATAAACACCCTTTTTAAGTGGAGCCATGGTCTTCTGCATCTTGACGTGAACAAGAAGCGCGGTGCTGCGTTTATCTCTCGCGTTTAAATGTTTAAGATAAACAGCACTGAGAATTAGTTACTTAGATAGAAGATGTGCTGTGGCCAGACAGAGCCCTGCTATGCTGCCGTTCTTTCATGTGTTAAAGCCCACGACTATCTCTAACTGCTGTGGATGGACCAGCGGGATGAGCTGAAAAATGTCATTCTGTCCTGTGATCAATAAGGGATGAGCTCAAAAACGCCTCTATGTCGTGGAATCAATAGAGCCTAAGCAACATAAAAAGAAATATGCAAAAGTTTCTATAATATTTCGAAGCACTTTAGATCTTGTCAGTTGGACTCTGTTTGTTCTTTTCCTTCTTTGCTTCTTCCGAATTGCTATGAAGTGAATGTGACGGATTTATCGATCATCTTTTCTATCACCTAAGATGCAAATGAGGAGCATTTGAGACCTCCATTTATTTTTTTCGGAAGGACTTTCAAAAAATGCATTATGATATTCCTCAATGAGATGGAAGCCCGGAAGGTGGTATATCTAATTTCGAAAAAAGGTTTATATTTGAATTTGAAGACATGCTTCCATATTAACAAAATCTCGTTCCACTTTCGAAATGACATACTTATACATTGGAAATTGCAGAGTTAA